AACGACGGAATATTTCAGTGAAAAGCCGTTATTAAATAAATTATTTAAGTTCCCTTCTTACCCGTTTTAGGCGTTCATTGAAGTTAAGAGAGTGTTGTCTTTTAGCGTATCAAAGTAAGGTATTTTTCGTAATTACCATATTTAAGAAAAATAAGTACATCGATTGGTTTCTAGTTATCAGCATTTTGTGACGGGAAATTCAGTATTTTTTATATAATAAAATATATTTCCAATAATAAATACTCTCCGTATATAGTGTTTCAATTCTACGAATGACTGTACAATGTATTTTTTCGACAAAAATTACAATTAAAATATAGTAATATCAGACAAATATAGTTGCCAAGTGTAACAAAGACAATTGTTGTCTCTAGTATATTTTAAGCTGTGTTAAACTTGACAACGGTGTAAAAATATGAGGCGAGTTTGTAGGTTGCTGTATCTTGAGGTTATATTTGAAAACCTACTTACATTCTCCAATTCCTCTAATTGTAAGACCCTAGATCCTGGAATCCTTTTCTTATTTTCGTTTAAATAATATTCATGTAGTTTCCTGAAAAGTAAATTTAAATGTTGTGATATGTCTATTTTCACATAATATGAATTGAATAGATGTAAACAATAACTAAAATTCATTGCCTAAAACCGTCAAACAGGGTAACTGCAAATGGTTCAAATAAAAACCGCATTTTACTGAAATAATTCCGTCATTGCCAGCAATGCTTGAAATCAACAGTCAAAAAAGGTAACAACTGAAGAGTTACGCTGTTAGCCGGCAATACGTGAAACGATTAGGCATTTCAGGCAATGCCGGGTTTCAGTATATGACGCCGACATATACTAATACAGCATTATGCTAGAAACTCAAAATATAAGACAAAAGTTCACTTAACTGGTATCTTAAATTCATTTAAGTTAATTTAGTTTCTTAATTAAATCTTTTCTAGTCAACATCAGGGGCAAATTAAATTCGGTATTTCGAAAAAAAAATAGAATTAGAAATGATTCAATTTCGAAATACATAATTTTCCGGTTTAAAGGCTTTTAAACCCCGCCCCTGGTGTATTGGTGAAGGTTTCGAATGCCATTACTCTCATGGGGTTCATTACGGATGTTCCCTAGCCACTATCGAGTTTGCTGTTATAAATTAAGTTAAAACGTTAAAGTGGAGTTATCGTCCTCAAACTGGAATTTAACGTAAACGTTAATATTCCTTTTACAATTTCGCTGTCCGCAGAAAGAATAAAAAACCCTAACAGCATTGGTATACAGGTGATTTCTAATTTAGAATAAATTCAGTAAATCAAAGGCTTTTGTTTTTTAGGAAATATGGCAATTGGCAATCAGAATTTAAAAGAGTTCATACTTGATATACTAGGTCTGGTCATTTCATCTGCATGGTCTGTATTTTAATGCATGTGACAGATAAATATAGATGACCGGTTAACAGACAGAGAGACAAAATAAAAAGCGGCATACGTTGTTGCCGGTTTTTACGTTTGTAGTAAATTGTGTGTAGAAAAAAATAAACTCTTTAAAAACTTTCATGTATACTACTGAAAAGAAGATTATGTAATATTTTAGTTAAATATTTATAATCTTAAATAAAAATAAAGTTCCAACTCTAGATGCAAAATTTTTCATAAACGCATACTTGTGCAGTTTGAAATTTTGATGCAAAATTCGGCAATATCACACAGAAGAAATGTATCAACCCAACTCACTGTCTTACACGTTACAATCCAGACCATGCAGTTACCATGACTACATCGGTATGACTTCATCAATAATTATAAAATGTGAGTCGTAAAGGCATTATGTTACATAAGAGTGCCAAATTTCGAATTTCTAATGAAAAAATTGGACAAATATTCACAAGTTGAAAGGACAGGACTGTAAGCCAATTACCATCAAGAAAAAAACTAGAAATGTTCCAAACGAGTTTTATTTCAGTTTGGGGTAGTGTTCAGTCAGTAAATAAACGACATGCTGTATATGTCTTAAATTTCAAACACGCTGTATAAACGTTTCTTAAATAAAAAAAGACCGCAGGAACTTTTGTGAATCTATTGCTTGTTAGAGAATCATCCTGTATATTGACTACTTTACAAAATAGGTATACTGGATGAGTCTTAAATAAGTGCAAATATTTTTAGGGCTGGTAGATATCGATAAAAGAAACATATTTTTTCTTTACCGTTTTTCAAATAAGTTCAAAATAACCGAGATATTTTAAGAATTAAGTTAACCGAGATATTTTGGAAATATTCAAAAAAATTGATTTTTCACTTACATTTTAAGAGCTGGATCTTTTCTGGTTTTTCTTTCTTGTAAATTTAATCTACTACCTATGTTACCATATTATGAAGATATAAATTCCAAAATTTCTTTCAAAAAATTCCAAATTTTAAAAAAAAGCGCGAAAAAAAAACCTCATAGACGTGTTTCTGGGGTCGAAAAAAATATACCACCACTAAAAATATTTGCACTTATTTAAGACTCACCCTGTATAAATAAAATAGCTTTTAGAAATAAATCCTAAAAAGAAAATAACAGCTAAAGCGCTGTTTTATTAAATAGAGGCCCTATTTTGTATTAAAATTTTCATTAATTATTATGATTATCCGACAGTAATTTAATCTGCTGTATCGGATGTTAATTAAATTTAATTAAAATATTTTGTTTATTATTTTAATAATAATCTTTTACATACATATAATTATTTTAATGAATTTTTTTTCCAAAAAATGAAAAGTATTTAAAAAATCACTGTGAGTCTTTTAGCAATTTTATAGCTTTCGTAAAATAAAATACAGGAATTATCTCATTAAAAAAATATATATTATTATTCACAATAAACACACTTTATAATCAATATCTGTATGTGTGTACCATCTCTGTTTTCAATATTTGGAACAGTGAACTAACTTTATAAAAAATTGTTAGTGTCCTCTTTAATGTTATATGTAAGTATGTTTGAACACTTTCTCGGAGCACTGAAGCAATACTAAGTAGATGAGACTTAAAAGATGTAATCTAAATTTGTTATTTTTACCTATACTAAATTAAGAACCATTTGAAAAATAAATAGACCTAGTGAAATAAAATATTGTATCAAATATTGACATTTTAAGTACAATTTCCTGCTTGTTAATAAGCATACATACAATGCATACCTACCTACATTTAACTATACTCTACATATAAATTTCTTCTGCCATCTAAGTTTTTCAACATTTATAACGACATATTTTTTGCACAAACATCCAAATCGAACAGTGCTTCTTCTGTCAATCAAGTAGTATTTCCTCTTAGACTGTCATGCTCTGTATTATAGAGCTTAAACAACATCTTGCATATACTTGTGATGTGTCATAAGGTATTCACAAGTACGCGAAACCTACTGCTTTAAATAAATAAGCAACAGCGTCGGCTGAAGATCAAACACGTGCCGTTGAGCCATGGCTACCTCCCAGATAAGAATCTTTATTTAATATGGCATGTGTTTTTCAAAAGTGGCTTGCCCCTATAACTTTTCTTTATTTTTTTAGAAAAACAAACGACAAAAACCAGGATTAATTAACGTATTCAAGTAGTTACGGTCATTTTCTGTTTCACCGAAAATGACTACAACTATTCATTTTTAAACAGTCAAAACGGTATATTTTAATTTATTTGACAGAAAATGACATTCAGAATAGAATGACATCATATGTCAACTTTTGACATCTTTGCTTAAAAAAATAGTATTTAAATTTCACTCTCGACTCTAAACTATAATAAAACCACTAATTTTTAATAATGAACATTGGAAAATTAGTTTTAATCTTCCAATCTTTTTCGTGACTGTTTCGGTTAAACGGATGCCCAAACTGTAATTTTAATCATAACTCATTTTTTTTCAAATAGACCAAGGTTGGCTTATTAGCATATTTGGAAAAGTCATGTTTTTACGAATAGTTTGGTACCACATAGTAAAATTTTCGTTATGAACATAGAGATTGAAATTAAAAATAACATTTTTTAAGCAAAAATGTCAAAAGTTGACATGTGAGATGTCATTCTATTCAGAATTATCTATCGAATAAAGTATAAAAATATCGAAGGTACCATTTAAAAAGCAAAAGTTGTAGTCATTTCCGGAAGTGGCCGAAAATAATTGAATACGTCAATCAATCTTGATTTATGTCATATATACAGGGTGTCTCCAAAATAAGTGCAACTGATCCGATAACAATTCCGATCCCAAAAACACACCTATGAGGTTGCAGCAATGCTTTGCGAAAAAAAGTTGTTGAAAATTAGTTGTTTTTCTTGACAGTTTCCGGGAATTTTTAAATAACTTGTTATTGTCACTTGTTTATTCACCTGAGAGTTTCTCTATGGTGTGGTGTATGTAAAATTACATTGCAGTGTTGCCACCTTCTACATTGTCCGTATTTATATCCATTGTAATTATAAATTTCTGCACAAAAAATTACGACTATTAATTTTAATCATATCTAATCTCAATGTCTAATAAAAGAATTCTAGAAAGAAACCACGTTAATTATTTTTACGCAAACCACATTTTTACAGTTATACTACATACTTTTTACAGTTTTAGTACATATACTTAAAAAATATCTAGAAGGTGGCGAAGGAACAAAATATTTAAAATGATTGAGCGAAACATGTATTTTCTAAGATACTTTGTAAAGATACTTTGTAAATTCTCAAGATTTGTTTATGTTGTAGGTAAGTTGTTTTTATTTTTTTTGTATGATAATAAAACAATTTTAAAAGAAGCTGTAAAACCTTTCGGATAGTGTGGAGTTTTGCGATTTGTGAATACACACAATAGACTTTGCGATTTGTTTTTGCATATATTTCTTCGCAACCATTTGGCAACACAGTGCGTCGAATAAATTGAAAAGCGCTTAATAGCCGGTTATCACCGGCGGCTCTCAAAATGTTACATTTTTTTAATTTCTAAAGATAAATAACTAGGTTATTTTCAATTTATTTGAAAGAATTTAAAAATGACAAAGCGAAAATATGTTTCTTTTGACCAGATCTACCACCAAAAGAAGATATTTCTGATGATTTCTAATATTATACCATGTGTAGTAAAAAACCAACTCTCATCTTTTACATGAAAAAATAAATAAAAAAACTTATAGAGTTCAGCGACTTTTGAAAAACACGCGGTATAATAAAAATCTAATTAGTAGTTTCCCATAATGACAAACTTTCCTTAAAAACGCCAATTGAAATAAAAGTCTTCGATTTACATTAATCGTAAGAATATAGTATTGAATATATTCAATACTATATTCAAATACATATTTTCCAAGCCTGTATTGAAGATGTGCAGAAACACTGGCCGATATAGATGCTTGTGCATTTCTCTACATACTTATAATAAGGAACTCGATAAAAATTCATATAGCACACAAACGTAACGACTAAGAACGTTTTTCCTTGTACTTTTAAAAGCCTTGGATCACACCGTAGGCCTCCAACGTCGACATCACTAGGTACACGACCCACAAGGCGAAAAATGCGCTTGACGTGAGGTATTTGAGGCACTGCGGTCCTCCCAATTCGCCGCCTACGATCTTGGATCTTCTCATCACCAAGATGAAGATGACGAGCACGGCTTCTGTGCAGAATATCGTTACGGAGAAGGCTAAGCTGTAACAAAAAAGATGAACTCTTTTCAATCAACAGACATCAAGAAAGTAAATTAAGAAAAAAGTGAACGGATAATAAATTATAAAACAGAAATCATCCAATAATGAAGTATAAGGCGGTGGTGGTTACATTGGATGAAAATTCGTACGAAAATTTACGAGTTCGTACAAAAATCAATTTTTGTTTAAGATTAGTGCATTCATGTGTATTTTTATAAATTTCGTATTCTTAAATAATACAGGATGTGTATAATTCTAAGCTAAACTTAACTCTAAAATATAAAATAATTTTTATTCGTTTTTCTTTAATAGAATACTCTATATTTTTTTAATAGATGGTTAATACAAAAAATGAACATTTTTAAATAATAAAACATTATTTCAAAATTTTTAACGGTTTCGCAGATATTTTCGCGGTATTATTTCATATGGTTCTTTCAACGGTAAAATTACAAGAGAAAAATCATTGGGTGGCTTTGATAAAAATTTACTGCGAAAAATGCTATATGAATTATTAAACCGCAAATATCTGTGACACCGTTAAAAATTTTGAAATACTCTAATTTTAAAATATATTCATTTATGCATTCTCCATATGTATTAAAGAAATTATATACAGATTGTTCCATTTAAAAATAGGAAGAAAAATTATTTTGTATCTTAGAATGTTGCCGTAGAATTTTTAACATCCTGTATGATTTAAGATTACGATATGTATAGCAAAGTAACTAAATTTATAGTAAAGCTAAAGTAAATATTTGTTAAAGTATTGATTTCGGGACAGTTCTTGTATTTTTAATATTTTATTGAATAAAATAGAAAGACTAAAAAAAATAGAAAGGCTGAAACAGGGTGGTCCGAACTGTATTGCGGAAACTTCGGCAGCATATTCTGCAGATAAAAATAAGTATAAAAGTTCGTATAAATGTATGTCTTAAAATGCTTAGTTTCGCAGATACAGGGTGTAGAAGTTTCATTTTTATTTCGATTTTTTCCAAATATTTTTCATTAATATCATACATATTCCGGTAGTTCTTCCCCCATCTTTATAGCATTGTTGTGATCTTCCGGGGGAGTGCACATGATTTTAGTTTTATCGATGTTCACCGTAAGGTTCAAAGCCTCGTATGCCCAGGTATTATGTATTCAAGATTTAATTTGTGTAACGTTTTTGCAACTAGAACGCAGTCATCAGCGTATTGAAGTTCTGTGATGAATTTTGTACCTGTTTTTGCCCTGAGTCTTTTTATATTGAACAGACCGTCGTCGTATCTGTATCTAATGCGCAATCCTCTTTCCTGCAGTTTGCTGTCCACTATAATGGGGAGCGCTGCCATGAATATGTTGAATAGGAGAGGCGCTAAGACACACCCCTGCCTAACTCCTGCACTGGTACACCGACTGAAAAACCGGTTGTCATCATTACTTGAAATAGGTTTTTAAAACTTAACACTGAACAGGTCTACTTTGTGCGATCGGGTAGCACTGGTGCAAATTGTTACTCTCGGGTTAAGAAAAAAATTGAGAAAAGTAATAAAATAAAAAAAATAAAAGGGGGATAGACTCAATATTTAAGGACAGTAATCATAAAATAACATTGGGACAATCCATAATAAAAAAAACAATACTATATTCAAAGAAGAAATTAAGAAATGATATATTAAAAGTTCCAATGTAGTAAAATAATTGGCAACATGCCTAGTGAAAGGCGAAAACCAGAAAACAATTAATTTCCGATTATTTTATGTCACGTCACGAACTAAACGCGTTTTTCGTCAAGCAAAAGATCCTCACAAAAGCTCATTCTCCTTTGTAGCTTTTTTCGTCTACTTTTCGTTTCGGTTTGGTTCATCAAATCTTTTCATATATAACAATCAGCTTGACCAACGGCCTACCTCCAAAACTGATATAAATCAAGCTTTAAGGAAGATACGTACGAAGGAAATAAGAGAAAAGTCCCTTCGTCGATTTCCACAAAAGAAAATGACGCACAAAGCTACAAAGGCTGTCGATGTCTTTAATGAAAAATTTCTTCTCCTTCTTGATGAGGTAAAGAAAGATTCGATAAGTCGGAATGAGGGAGCCACATGTCGAAAAATCCGTTTTTTCGTTATAGATTTTAGTGATTTATAACTCTGTCGTAGACTGATAGGTTATCGAATAATAGATTGCCATTTGGTCATCGTAATATGACAATTCGATTGGAAATAAACCTTTAAAGATAAGTAATTTGTAATATTTTTTATTTAATAAGTTATCAATGCATATTATTATTTATATTTTTTCGAAATTTAAAAAATAAATCGAAATATTTTCGTAATGTTTATCATCTTTTTAAAAATGTAAACGTAAATATATAAAATATCCGTTCATAATTGAAATAAATCGCGCAAACGAAAGATTAAAATATTTAATATTGACAACTAAATTATTTTGAAAGTTCTATAAACGTAAACTCTAACAAAAACGATTACAAAAAAAACATTTAATTAACATTAAATACAATAATATTAATTAGTGCCTTTGTTAAGTTTGTATTTAATTTGTTTTTGTAAAAGCCCAAAATTATAGCTTGCCAATGATATTATTATGAAAATACTCATTATCTGGGTGCTCATATACACAAAATAAAATGAAAGCTTTAGAATTTGTTTAATCCTATTATGTCTACTGGAATGACGAAAGTTTTCTTTATACGTGATGAATGTGTTCTAAAACGTAATGAGATGAACCGCCTATTTAAAAACAGACATATTTCTTTAAATTCAAAACATTCAATTTTATGACACTCTGTATACATAAATAAAATTATTGATTTTTAAAATATTATTCACAAACTAGGATAGTTGTGAGATAATAGCTTTGAGACTACCATTCGAGACGCATTGATATTATGTTGGTTCTTGAGTTTTGTGACAAAGAATGTTATTAAAGGTAAAGTAAATGTTTTCTCATTGTAGAATGTAGAATGTTTAGGAGGGGAGTTAGTCACCGCGACCTTAAAGATCTATTGTGTGTTCCCCTTTCTTAAGCTACAACCAGTTATAACTCATCATACAGTCTCAAGGCTTTAACAAAAGCCAGTATCTGAGACGGCTCCATAGAGGCCAGCTCTCCATCCTTGACATCAGCCGTACCAAAGTTCATGGCACGAATGGTCGTCGTCTCGGCGCACTCAGTGATGAGGTGTTCTGGCGTTTCCCCATATTCCCCACAGAATCTGCATTCGCCGTTGTTTCTCAGCTTCAGCCTACTGAGGTGTTCGTTGAGGAGACAGTGTCCTGTTAGGAACCCCGTGACAATCCGAAGATTGTTTTTACTTAAATCAAGGAAAACCTTTGATTTTTCTCGGTCGTAGTGTCTTAGACCGTTGGAGGACACCCATTCCAAGTTACGGATGGAGTCTTCCAGATTCTTCAGTTCCGCTTTCAGCTGGTTTCCGCTTGGAAAACAGAACGGTTCTGGTCCAGTTAGTGGAGTGTTCGCTCCTTTCCTAGCTAGATCATTTGCTTTTTCATTGCCTTCTATCCCTTGGTGAGCAGGCACCCAGAGTAGGAGGACTTTATTTTCTTTGCCCAACTTGTTGAGCTTCTCTAGGCATTCTTTTGACCAACTTCGAATTGATGGTTACTGAGTTGAGCGCGTTTAGTGCTGCATGACTATCGGATGGGATGGCAATTTCCTGTTTTCGATAGTTCCTATCTAAGATAAAGTGTACGCATCTTTCGATAGCGTAAATTTCTGCCTGAAGGATGTTGGGGTAGGTGCCCATTGGTTCGGAGTATTTGGTTTTCGGTCCAAATTCCCCTATCCCTGTCCCGGCTTTGATTTTGAAAGCATCAGTATACCACGTTATGCTATATCCTATGCTGAGTAAGCGTTTCTTCCTTCCAATCCTTTTTATTACTCAATACTACAGTGAGGTGTTTCTCAAAATTGTAAATTCTTGGTATGTAATCCACTGGGAGTTGGAGAAGTGGAATTTTCTTTTTGAGGGTGTTTCAAGCCCCTGACTAAAAATTCTCCCAGTACTGTTTCCGTCTATGACCATTCTAATCATTGTCGCATTGGCATAACTACCGACGACAATGTGCAGTGGTGTTAGGTCTAAAATGACCTCCATTGCTGCTGTTGGACATGTTCTCATGGTACCTGTGATACAAATACATGCCAGTCTCTGTACTTTGCACAGGTTTTGCCTTGCTGTACGTTGCTCTAGTTTTGTATACCAAGCAACTGCTCCATATGTAATCATGGGTCTTACTATCATGGTATACATCCAGCGCAGCCCCACCTATTTCCCGCCAGTCTTCTGCATATCATGAGAGCCTTTGTGGCTTTGCTGGTAATGTTCTTAATATGCCTGTTCCAGAGAAGTTTACTATCCAGTGTTATTCCTAGATATTTCACTTCCTGTGATGGCAGTATTTCCTTTCCATCTAGATGGATTCCTTTCAAGTTTTTCAAACTTCGCTTTCTGGTGAATGGCACTACCGCGGTTTTATCTGAGTTGATACTCAGCCCGACGGCCCTGCACCATCTCTCAGTGATGCGGAGTCCTCTTTGGATAATATCACACAGGGTGCCTTCATGTTTCCCCCGTGCAATCATGACTATGTCATCTGCATACCCTATGCAGTGTATTCCCGCTAGAGTTAATTTTTCCAGTAGTTCATCCACTACCAAGCTCCACCGTAGGGGGGAGGTCACTCCACCTTGTGGAGTTCCTTGCGTTGTTTTAACAACCACAGTTTTGGTACCTATCTCAGCTTCTGCTGTTCGTGTTGAGAGCATTTCCCAAAACCAGTGGATTATCGTATTGTTCACCCCTCTTGTTTCAAGAGATCGCTTGACCACCTTGTGAGGTATATTGTCAAACGCCCCTGCAATGTCCAAGAAGGCACAAAGTGCTGTTTCTTGGCTATCCAGGCTTGCCTGTATTAGCTCAGTTAACTGGTACAGAGCAGTTTCTGTGGATCTGCCCGCTCTATATGCATGCTG